TATAAGTTGGGTACTTCGGGGGCTATATCAGCTCATTGATAGCTCTGGGCTGAGGCCAAATTCACTTTGTGGGAGTAAATAGACCCGGGGAAGAAATGGGGTCTTTACTTCATTAAAGAGGTGTATGCATCTTTATGTGTCACATAAATGTTAGTGGCGCACCCCTGAAACATGGATGTGCTTGTGCAGGAAGAATGTCACGTACATAATTAAGCAATGTGCTGGGTGGATGTTTGCCTAGCTCTTCACTAGCATACTGAAGGGATCCGGTAATAGGCCTAACTCAGTAGGATAGAAAACAAAATAGCATGATATTTCCCTTATGCTTCTCTGCTAAACATAAGCCCCACACTAGCATGGTGTGATCTAGAATTTCACTCAAAATGGCAAAAGATGAGATTTTCTTATTAAGAAATAGCACTTTTTGTGCTCATGGTGTAGAACGGAACAAAACAGGAGACACTTTGAAGGTCCGGTAGAGGAAATGCTTGTTTGACGAGTGCTGGTGTCCTTTCCAAGTACTCTCACATACAGCACATGTGAACACACATTCTCACACACACTCTCAGTTTTTGCAGCCATGTTGCTAATTTGCTTTACCTTATAGTAGTCAGAGTTTAGGCTTCAGAGATTGAATAGAAACATGATTGACCTTGGTGTAGGTGAACCAATAATAAGAGTAGTAGTTGCCTTAGTGCATCCATCTAAGATAGCATGTCATGCTGTATTAGTAAGGAGAGGGAGGTAGAGAAGGAGACAGGAAGAAAGAGAGATAATTGTTGTGGATCATTATAGTTGGTTTTCATTTATTCCCCTCCTCCATTGCTTTCCTTTGATAACCTCTGGCATGCTCTAAATAATTTCATTCCTCCTCATTTCTTATCACATGCATTATGTCACTCCTATTGTTTAGCCTCTCCTAGATGTCATCTTCTTCTCTCATTATTCTCCTTTACTTCTCTCTCTCTCTCTCTCTCTCTCTCTCTCTCTCTCTCTCTCTCTCTGTCACACACACACACACACACACACACACACACACACACACACATACACAAAGTAACTTTGACAAATGGAGCAGCTAATAAGCCACTTTTAAAATAACAAGATTGACAATTACATAATCTTCATTATAAATAACCAAATTTTACCACACTACAACTATTAAGGCCTGGTCATACTAATGAGAGTCACACTTGCTGTTTCTAAGCAGTTTTGTGCTCTGTGTTGCTCAAGGGAGCAGGAAGATTACAGCAAGATGAATGATATAACAGTAGTAATCTTACATAGGAAACAACATACAATTAGCTAAAATTATATAATGGGTTGTTAAATGGGGCATAGCTGAATACACTTTGCAAGTATTTAATGCAAGGGCAGAATTTATCATGTGGAAATGGTGAACATTAAAAGCTAATACTTCTACTTAAAATTCTTTCTCTTCTTGTTACATTCCTCAGCCAGCTTGCAATCTACCATGTAGAGGTACTGGAGAGAAACAGAGGTGAGGGAGGCTTGTGCACAGTATTTAATCACAGGGAAAAATACATTAATTTTTTTGAAATTTTTTGAGTGGATTTTTTGGCACTTACAAAATAAAACAAGTGACAGACCAACACTGGGGGTTGTCAAGACAGCCATAATTTAATGTTAGACAGGAAAATAAATTATGTGCAGTTCATAATCAACCTGCCCAAAGTAAGCTTTGCCACTTTGTTGTACAGAAAGTTGTGTCTCTACATTTTCTGTAGTGTGGGTGCCTATTTTCTATGTTTCAAAAGTATGATCTGTGTACTTGACCTAATGAGGTAGAAATCAAATAGTAAGATTGAAGCATAATAAACTGAAATAAAATTTTCAATCATTTATATATACTTTAAATCATCCATGTTAACTTCTTTACCGTGTGATGAATATTTATTTGTTGTTTCCTCAGCATCCTTCATCTCCCCAAGAGGGTGACAGTTCTCTGTCTCCTTGTCTCCTATTTTATCAGACAGTTTACTTAGATGACATTTATACTACTCCATTGATACAACCTGCCCAAAGTAAGCTTTAAAGCTCTAGTTGTGCAGAAAGTTGGGTAGACATTGGGGAGCCCACAGCATTCTATGTCCTAGACAGCGTCAAATTATATGCTATCAATGTTGTCAGCCTAAAATTGGAGTGATGTCTGCCAACTAAATAGAACTGGGAAGCTATGAAAGGAGGGTCCTTAACAACAGGAAGTATTATGAAAAGACCCTGCCAAAAGCATCCTTGCACCATAAATCACACACTCAGACACACATAGAGGTACACACACACACACACACACACACACACACACACACACACAGCAACATTTGAGTAGAGATCAAAATCCCATCATGCAGTCACCATTCATTCTTACATAAAACATTTTTATGTAGGTGACCTCCTGTTACTTCAGACTGACAATTAAAACACACTCAATTTGTAGTAAGATGTTGTTTAAGGCATCCAAGAAAATGAAAGTTTCTCCTTTTCACTATATATTTTAATTACAAATACTGAAATCCTTGACTCAACATGTTTTTTTTATGTTTCAAGTCAATTTCAATTGAGACTGCCACGGGTAATATAAATTGCTTTATGATAGGTATGGGCAGTATGAAAACTTATCACATATATTGAAGAAGAAACTGATTAATACCAAGACACAACTTAAGTGGAGATCATACAATCAAAATAGAATATGTTCACATATATGTATATATGCACATATAAATAGGTATGATCAATGTACATAATAATAGGTTTCATAAAGAAGATTTTATATAAGAATATAATGTTCCTTATCCATCTGCAACTCTGTGCCATGCCCTTTTCTTTTCATCTCTCCCATCCTCTCTCATTATTCTATTTTTCATTTTTTATTTTATCAAATTTATTTTAATTTTAAATAGCTTGTTTTACATATCAATCCCAGTTCCCTCTCTCTCCCCTCCTCCTGCACTCCCATTCCCCCCAAGCCTCCCACCCTATTGCCAAATCCTTCCACATAGGGGATATCTAGAGTCTGTCATTTCACTCTGGGTAGGGTCCAGGCACTCCCCTAAGAGTCCAGGCTGAGAGAGCATCCCTCTTTGTGCTATGGGCACACGATGACTGTTTGTATTCCAGGGATAGACACTGATCCACAGTTCAGAACCCTATAGGTTGCCCAGGCCTTCTCGCTGACACTCACATTTGGGGAGTCCAGATCAGTCCCATGCTGGCCTCCCCGGTGTCAGTTTGGGGTCCAAGAGCTCTCCCGTGTTCAGATCAGCTGTCTCTGCTGGTTTTGCCAGCCCATTCTTTGCCAATTTGCTCATCACTCCTCTCTCTGTCACTGGGTTCCTTGGGTTCAGTTCAGTGCTTAATTGTGTTTTTGCCTCTGCTTCCATTAATCACTGGATGAAGGCTCCCGGATGGTTATAGACATCAAGTTTATTATCAGGAATGGGCATTCGAGGTGGTCTCTCCACTATTGCTTAGCTTGCCAATTGGTGTTATCCCTTTAGATCACTCGAGGTCACTCTGGTGCCTGATCTGTCTTCTAACCTATGAATCCCTCTTCCCCCTATTCGACACCCACCCACTCAACTTCCTGTTCCCCCATGACCTACTCTCTCTTTCTCTTCTCCCCCTCTCTTCTTCCCAGCTCCCACTCCCCCCACCCCTCGCCGTGTTCCCCATCCATTCAGAGGATCTTGTCTCAATCCACTTCTCTTGGGTACTATGCATATATGCATATCTTTTAGGTTCTTTTCTGTTTCCCAGACTCTCTATCAGTGGAAGTGCAGACTGGCACTATCCTGATCCATGTCTAAAATCCATATATGAGTGAGTACATACCATGTTTGTCTTTTTGCGACTGGGTTACCTCACTCAGGATGGTTTCTTCCAGTGCTATCCATTTACCTGCGAATTTCAAGATTCCATTGTTTTTTTTTTTATTTTTTTATTTTTTTTCAAATATATAACAAATATTTTTATTTTGAGATACAGGGTATTTATTTATGAATTATAAGACCTATATACAATGAAAGACACACTTCCACAATCAAGTATCTTTATATGCTTTTTAAATGCAATGACCTTATTCAGACTTTTCTGAATTGACCATGTCAGTTTTTAAAATTCTCTAAGATAATGCCATTTTATGATAAAATACATTTTTGCAAAAATTCAGAAATGTAGTTAACATTTAATGAATATGACCAAGAAAAGTATCTGTAAGCATGTGCCAAATGACTTAGCACTTTTTTCCAGTTTTATATTTAAAAAAATTGCAATTTGACACTAAGCCTATTTTAAAAATATTGTTGTTACACTGATTCATCTCAAAATGCACTATTAATAGTCCTTTTGCAAAATACCATCATATATAACTGTGAATGTTTTACCCAGAATTAATGGAAGAAAATGTATCTTCTGCACAGATGAACATTTTCTAAGACTAATCTTCATCACCCAATATTGTTTCTACAAAAGCATGCAATACAAAATACACATGAAAGCAGCTATTTTAATACAATTTACCTTTATAGCTGATTCATCACTGCCTCCAGTTTAATATGCTGTTACATAGAAGAAGTTCCAGTATCCTTTTTCTGATTGACTTAAAAAAAATCCCTGAATAAAACAGAAGCCAGTCTGTGACTTCTTTGGGCATTTCTGTAGAACATTATCACCTATCGAGAATACCTCTACCCAAACCCATGACCATAGAATATAACTTGAAACAGATTTGAGACAAATAAAAATTAAAATGTTTATGTTTAAAAGGGCAAGAAAGGTTGAGTATTAGTATTTAAAAGGATACTGTGACTTTAGCAACTGTAAACTTTTGTTTTAGGAGGCTGTGACAGACAGCTCTATGCCGCTAGGTTTTAGCTTGTAAAAAATGCGAACACATATTCATTTGTAAAATGGTGTAGAATACAAAAAACACAAAATGATATGGAGAAAACAAACACAAACAAAGAACGCTTATTAAGGAAAGCTGTATAACCAACTCGTCTGAAAGTACAAAATAATTTTAAGCAACTGCTGAAGAAAACCCTGATACAAATTTCAATTTCTTATCTTGCTTTTAAATGACATGAACTTTAAAATTAAAATGGAGAAAGTAGATACTTTCAACCCAACTAAAATAATGCCAACAAGATAAGCTTGCATAGAAAAAAATTTCAAATTATTACTGGCTACATGTTTTAAAAATCAGAAATGCAGATATTATAGTGCAAAACCATGGCAGCTGATGATGTCTTTTACTGCCTCAGGTCATGAAATATACTGTAGTACCTCCAGTTATCACAGTTTCTGGTCATACAATGAGTTGGGTATACCAACTAGAAGCAGTGTGTATGTAGAGATGGGTGGCACATGTGCTGTGCTCATATTAACGAAGCTTGAGATCATCACCACCACCTAAATTGGAACCAGGACTAGGGTCTTGTTGTCTTCTTGCCAGTTACTGCCAGCAGCTGTGAAACTCTCACCTCCATTTCCTCCCGGTGAGACCTGTCTCTATCCTCAAATTCACGAGTTCTTCTTCGAGCCTCTTCGAAGGCCTGTTGTGCTAATGCATCTTCCTGCTGGGCTCGCTCCTCATCAAACTCCAGGCAACCCATACCATCCAATCTGTGGAGATCAATCCAGCCTTTCCAGATGACACATACTCCATTGAGAATCATGGGAGCTTTCAAGTACACCTTGCCTGCTTCTCTTTCTAAGTCGACATATTCCCGGCTAGGTGTTTGTCGCTGTTCTCCCTGCCAGCTGGCCGGAAAAAACTGGAGAGACAGATTGGTTCCTGTGGCCACAAAAGCGATCTCCGAACAGCCGTCGCAGCAGGCGTTCTGGAAGCATGTCTGGCGCTCCTCCTCGTGAGGCCGGTCCCTGAAGCCCGTGTACTTAATCTCACACTCGCGGCTCAGCTTCCTGAAGAACTCCTCGTTCTCGAACTTGCTTCTCTGGTCGGGTACGACGCGCGGCATCTTCGCGCCTTCAGGCCTCGCCGGCCGGCCACGCTCCTCCATTGTTTTTTTCTGCTGAGTAATACTCCATTGTGTAAATGTACCACATTTTCTCTATCCACTCTTCAGTTGAGGGGCATCTAGGTTGCTTCCAGGTTCTGGCTATTACAAATAATGCTGCTATAAACATAGTGGAGCACATGCCCTTGTTGTATGAATTTGCCTCATTTGGATATATGCCTAAGAGTGGAATTGCTGGGTCTTGTGGTAGATTGATTCCCAATTTCCTGAGGAATCTCCATACTGCTTTTCAAAGTGGCTGTACGAGTTGGCACTCCCACCAGCAGTGGAGGAGTGTTCCCCTCTCCACAACCTGTCCAGCAAAATTGTCTTCTGTGTTTTTGATTTTAGCCATTCTGACAGGAGTAAGATGGTATCTCAGAGTTGTTTTGATTTGCATTTCCCTGATGGCTAAGGATGTTGAGCACTTTCTTAAGTGTCTCTTGGCCATTTTAGCCTCCTCTATTGAGAATTTTCTATTTAGTTCTGTACCCCACCTTTTAATTGGATCCTTTGGTGTTTTGGAGACTTGTTTCTTGAGTTCTTTGTAAATTTTGGAGATTAGCCCTCTGTCAGATGTAGGGTTAGTGAATATCTTTTCCCATTCTGTGGACTGCCTTTTTGTCTTGTTGACTGTGTCCTTTGCCTTACAGAAGATTTATAGTTTCAGAAGGTCCCATTTGTTAATTGTTGCTCTCAATGTCTGTGCCACTGGTGTTATGTTTAGGAAGTGGTCTCCTGTACCAACTCGTTGAAGAGTGTCTCCCACTTTCTCTTCTAAAAGTTTCAGTGTGGCTGGATTTATATTGAGATCTTTGATCCATTTGGACTTAAGTTTTGTACAAGGTGATAAACATGGATCTATCTGCAGTCTTCTGCATACCAGTACCCAGTTATGCCAGCACCATTTGTTGAAGATGCTTTCTTTCTTCCATTGTACAGTTTTAGCTTCTTTGTCAAAAATCAAGTGTTCATAGGTGTATGGGTTAAAATTAGGGCTTTCAATTTGGTTCCATTGGTCTACCTACCTATTTTTGTGCCAATACCAAGCTGTTTTCAGGACTATAGCTCTATAATAGAGCTTGAAGTCAGGTATGGTGATGCCTCCTGAAGTTCCTTTATTGTATAGGGTTGTTTTGGCTATCCTGGGCCTTTTGTTCCTCCATATAAAGTTGATTAATGTTCTTTCCAGATTCTTGAAGAATTGTGATGGAATTTTGATAGGGATTGCATTGAATCTATAGACTGCTTTTGGCAAGATTGCAATTTTTATTATGTTGATCCTACCAATCCAAGAGGATGGGAGATCTTTCCATTTTCTGGTATCTTCTTTGATTTCTTTCTTTAAAGACACAAAGTTCGTGATATACAGGTCTTTCACTTCCTTGGTTATCATTATCCGCAGATATTTGATGCTGTTTTTGGCTATTGTAAAGGGTGATGTTTCTCTGATTTCTTTCTCAGTCACTTCATCATCTGTATATAATAGGGCCACTGATTTTTTTGAGTTTACCTTGTATCCTGCCACATTGCTGAAGGTGTTTATCAGCTCTAGGAGTAACCTTGCAGAGTTTTCTGGGTCACTTATGTAAACTATGATATCATCTGAAAATAGTGAAAGTTTGATTTCTTCTTTTCTATTTGTAACCCCTTTATCTCCTTTTGTTGTCTTATTGCTGTAGCTAGAACTTCAAGTACAATATTGAAGAGATATGGAGAGAGTTGACAGCCTTGTCTTGTTCTTGATTTTAGAGGAATTGCTTTGAGTTTCTCTCCATTTAGTTTGATGTTAGCTGTTGGTTTACTGTATATTGCTCTTATTATATTCAGGTATGTTCCTGTTATCCCTGATCTGTCTAGGACCTTTATCATGAAGGGGTGCTGGATTTTGTCAAAGGCTTTTTCAGCATCTAGTGAGATGATATTGTGGTTTTTCTTTTGCAGTTTGTTAATATGGTGGATTACATTGATAGATTTTCTAATGTTGAACCATCCCTGCATTCCTGGGATGAAGCCTACTTGATCATGGTGGATGATTTTTCTGATGTGTTCTTGAATCCCGTTTGTGAGTATTTTATTGAGTATTTTTGCATCGATGTTCATGAGGGAAATTGGTCTATAGTTCTCTTTCTTAGTTGTGTCTTTGTGTGTCTTGGGTATCAAGGTAATTGTAACCTCGTAAAAAGAGTTTGGCAGTGAGCCTCCTGCTTCTAATGTGTGGAATAATTTGAGGAGTATTGGAATGAGCTCTTCTTTGAACTTCTGGTAGAATTCTGCACTGAAGTCATCTGGGCCTGGGCTTTTTTTGGTTGGGAGAATTTTGATGTCTGCTTCTATTTCATTAGGGGTTATAGGTCTGTTTAGATTGTTTATCTGTTCTTGATTTAGTTTTGGCAAGTGATATCTATCCAGGAAATTGTCCATTTCCTTTAAATTTTCAAATTTTGTGGAGTACAGATTTTCAAAGTATGCCCTGATGATTCTCTGGATTTCCTCAGAGTCCGTTGTTATGTCTCCTTTTTCATTCCTGATTTTGTTAATCAGCATGCTCTCTCTCTGTCTTTTGGTTAGTTTGGACAGAGGTTTGTCTATTTTGTTGATTTTCTCATAGAACCTGTCGCACCTGCTGTGCGGCCTGCATCCTAGAATGTAGCGAGGTGGTCGGGATAGATGACACAGAGACAGGTCGGTTGCTTTAAGAAAACTTTATGCTTCCCAAGTCAGCTTAGGAGGAGATTCCAAGTCCGCTTAGGAGAGAGAAGTTTCAGGAGAAGTCTCTCTAAGAAAAAGGAGCTTCCCTTTTTAAGGACTTCTGCCATTCATCTACATACCATTCTTTCCACTTCTCACCCTCCTGGCTGGTGGTTTAATCTCCGGCCCCAGAATCGGGGGAGACACCACAGGGGGGACAGGAAGAGGCATCTAGCCATAGGGGGTGTGAAAGGCATGGTATTTCAGTGAGCAAGCCTTTATCTGAGCCCTATCAAGAGCTTTAGCACTGAATTGTTTTCAGTAAACATTACACAGATGCCTGCTCCCAGGCTGAAGGGGAAGTGGGTTTCTGCTCAAGGTCTGGTGTCCCCACAATTCACCCCTTTTTATTTTTAAATGAGGCACTCCTGTCTTAGGTCAAGTAGGGTCACCCTCCCTGCCCCGTCTTTGGGGGACCTTGAACCCCTGTCTTAGGTGGGAGTGGGTCTTCCTCACAGGTTGCCCGTCAAAAGAGCGCCCCAACCTTAAAATCATTTGTAATAAGGCTTTATGGCTATCGGGATTGCCATGGGCTAAGGCACTTTGAACTCAGCATGAAGCTAGAATGCCTACTGCCACTGTTACCATTTCTAGGACCCCCACTGACATAGCGCCTCTCTGTCACCTGCCCATCCCCAGATCTGGGCCTTAGCATTCTACCACCAGCCTTTCTTTGCTACAAGGGTGATTTATAGTTACAATTTGATGGTCAAAACAGTGATAAAGTTTACAATCATTTTAAGATCTACTTAGGAAAGCATTAGATAGTGCACTTGCACAGATACATTAGGTGCAATCATTGATGTTACACATGTAGCATTATAAAAAATATGAACAAGAGGCTTGTTGCACTATTTACAGAGTACCAATTTGTTCCTGTGGTGATGTAGTCTGTCGATTTAATGTCAGTAGTATCAGCCGAACATGCAACCCGAGTCAAAGTCTTTTTGTCGCACCAGGACAAACCACATTTCTCCAGAAGAACACACTGGCATAAGTGTGATTCCAGAAACAGGAACTACCAAGTCTGATATTTCAAGTGACCATGTCCTGTTCAAATACTGAAAAGAGGCTTTTGCCACTCATCACAGTCCATACCAATGTCCAAATGTTTTAAATGGGTCTTTTTTCCCCAAAGGGAAAAGCTGGCAAAATGAATTCTGTTGTTTTAAGGTGTATCAAAGGCTAGCTGCTAATCTTCCAGTTTTGTTGGCTTAGGGATGAAAACTCACAGGTCCAGGATGTTGATGTAGCAAGCCTGATGAGACACTGGAAATCTTGAACTGACTGATTTATTTCTTTCTAGGGCTGTAGATTTGATGACATCAAGGGTCAGGAACACCGACTTAGGAGATCTCGAACTGGCTTGAGCAGGCTCCCATGGTCTCAGGTCCAGTTTTCTCTGCTCCATGCATCTCACCAAATGTTGTGACAGCTACTGAAGCTTTATTCTTTTCCTGTAAGAAAACACAAACATGCCCTCGACCCCAAATTAGGGTCTACTCTACTGTCTAGTGTATGGATGTTTCCATTTGACCTGAGCAATAGTTGTTTAACTTTCATTACGTCAGAATCTGTCTGAAGCAGATTCCTCACTGGCATTTACATTTTAAAAATTTTTAAATGAGGAGTGGATTATTTAATGAATCATGTGGGGACTGGGGACATTACTCCCCCTTTTATTTTTAAATTTTGTTTTAACTGTTGAAGTTGGACCATAACAGTAGAAGGATGTGTCTACCCTCCTTAGTCAACTATCTAGGTGAATTGGGATCACTATTTAAAGTATTAGTAGATGTCCTTTAAAAGGGACATAACCATTAAGTACCTTTGAGAATCATTTAAGGATTGTAAACTATACTATGTCCCAAATAGTCCCTTTTTTTTTTTAACCTGTAGCTCTCACTAGCTGACAAGGCCTCCTTTGCATCTGAACTGACAAGGCCTAATTTGCATCTACACAGACACCTTTGGGGGTGGGGGCCTGCCAAAGACAGGACAGTTCCCTGAAAAAACCTCTCTTTCTCTCTCTCTCTCTCTCTCTCTCTCTCTCTCTCTCTCTCTCTCTCTCTCTCTGTCTCTCTGACTGGCTCTGAGGGCTTAACTTGAATTTTTTGTTAAAATATTAACCGACTGACTGGATGTTTCTTTTGGCTATATCTAAATCGATTTAGGTAGTTTTTAACTGTTTGAAGGGATTTAAGTATCCCTTTAATCATATCCAAGGCAA